AATCTGCGCAAACTGATAAATTGGTTACCCAATGGCGCGTATTGACGGCTCTGGCAAGATGAGTGCCGCGACATTAAAAAACATGAACCGTTACGTCACTCAGCGCATGAGACGCGTTCTCGTTCTCGCGAGACGCAATTAAGGTGACTCAGGGATTGCGAGAGACGGAACCAGATGAGATCGGATCTCAGTTAATCCGTTCGGGGCCAACGGCGGCGGAAAAACACCGGTGCCGACGGCACTCGTCGCCGAATCCGAAAACCTCTTCTGATAAGGCGTACTATTTTCCAGGAGAAAAGGTGATTTATGGAACACGTTAGCACATTTTCACCGGAGATAACCGGCAGGTAATTAGTTTGGATTTCCTATACGCAGCCCGTGCTCGGTCGTTGCACCAGTAGACGATTGTGGCATGGGGTTGGGAACCAAACCGTTAAGACAGCACCTTCCTAGAGTCTCATTATTTTGTGAGCAACAGCTATCAAATACTAGGTTTAATATCTTCGAGCACAGTTCGCTGCTCTCAGTCAATTCGAATTTCGTTGCAAGCGGTTAGTTCGTTCTGCTTTATTGGTTGAGCCAGGTAGTCATGCAAATTGCGAACTTTTTTTTCGTGCAAGGACAAGTGATAAAGAGATGCAGTTGACAGGGTCAGAGTATACGAAATACAGGTCAATAAACAAACAAGTCGATGTCGCATTGCACTTACCAGTGCTTCCGTCACGATTCAGATGGCCCCACGGATGAAATAGCTGATCAGACTATCGCCCTCGTTTGGTGTGAAAGTATGCATTCCATCGTACTGGTGTATATATATATATATATATATATATATATATTATATATATACATACATATATATAGATCTCTCTCTCTCTCTCTCTCTCTCTCTCTTCTCTCTCTCTCTCTCTCTCTCTATCTCTCTCCTCTCTCGCTCTCTCTCTATCTCCTCTCTCTCTCTCTCTCCTCTCTCTCTCTCTTCTACGTAGCATATCAGCCTGCGTTAGTGCACATACACATTATGCAGTTCCCCACTATCTCACAGATTAACCCTCGTTTTATGCGTTCCTTGATCAGGCTGTGGCCACTTCATCAGGATCAATGCATATGTTTGTCCTTAAGAATCACTGACAGTGAAGACGTAGCATATCAGCCTGCGTTAGTGCACATACATACACACCAGATGAGGGTGAGTCAGAAAAATGATTCCTGCCGTAGGAAATATCAAAGCCGTCACGTATGCTTTTTCTTAGTTCTTTGTGTACAACAGCGCGGATGAACTGGGCCGGCGCCAGCTGGCGGCCGTACAAGGCGACCGATATGTCTGTCGATCCAGCAAGACAGCCTCGTCTTCACTGTCAGTGATTCTTAAGGCCAAACATATGCATTGATCCTGATGAAGTAGCCACAGCCTGATCAAGGAACGCATAAAACGAGGGTTCATCTGGGAGATAGTGGGGAACTGCATAAAGCAACAGATTGTCCCGGGAGGGGCTTAGGTGGCAGCCGAGCGTTTCGTTGAAGTTTGCTATTGGAACATACAGATGGATATATTCGTGCACTCCAGCCGAAATTTGTATACTATCAGAGCTTTTCACAGTTTCAATGACGTTGCGGTGGAAGCATATGGGGCAAACAAAATTGTCGTTGAAGGCCAGGGCAGGAAATCCGCCATTTGCAGGCCGCATGTTCCAGTTACACAGCACTCAGGTCAGTTACAACAAATCATCATGGAGATACATTGTAGCATGTTCTAGCTTTTTTTATTGTTTCTAAATATATGTTCCTACAGCTGCTCGATATTCACGCTCCAATATCACTACAGTCATCTTCAATGTACAGTGGGATGAGGATTTTTTAAGGCCCTTTCTTACACATATCACCACCTGCAATACCTTACGTTTGACCTCACAAGAAGTGAGTGGGTGATGACTGATAGACCCCGCCCCTGTTGATACCATGGGCCTCTGTTTACATGATGCGACTATGATTGGCTTACTAGAGAGCATGGCGGCCCAGGATTTGCGATGGCAGTGAAATAACACGATTTAAAGATGTGATATTGTGCGTATTGCTCTGCGTTTACTGTGGTTGAAAGCGGTTTTCACAAATCACACGTTCATCTTCGTCTAAACAGCATGAATTTAATGTCTAATCAGGAAAATTTCCGCTGAACAAAATCGTCCGGAAATAAGGGGAAAATGATTTAATGTGCTTTAACAATTTACTTACTTTTAAAGAACCTGAATGCACACCAGAATGTTTGGATATTGTTATTGACGTTCGGCAGTTCGTCTCAAATATTCTATCAAACGTAACAATTTGGGCCTGGCAGGCCCAGAAGTTCAGTTTATGTTTCGATGAAGTAACATGATGAGCATTGCGGTGTCCACAGGCTCAAAACAGGTGTCAAACGGCTCGTGTTCGCAGTCAGTGAATGATGTAGTTATACTGTCTATTTTCCATGCAAACTGTGTGACTCGTGTGTTGCCCACGCCACGCCGCGGTATTCAGGTGCTGCGAAAATCGGCGTGATATGCTGGCACGATGGCCAACTGTTAAAGTCCCACGGTGCAGCGACCAATCTGGAAGAAAACTTTTGGTCAAATATGACAAAGTTCTTGGTAGGCTTCTGGTAAAGAGTGCTTTCCAAATTTGTGATTGAATTCACACGCTGTAAATGTTTTCATCTTCGATGTTTCCGTCTCATAGTCGCAGGAGGATTCCATTGTACAATTCATCGTGTTTGGTGTAACGATCAGACTATACCTGCATTTGGTCGGCTTAGCCTTCAAGTGTGCCCACCACAAACGTTTTGTTCGATTTTTCGAGAACGAGCAAAAGTGACGACCTTTTCTGTCTTCTGTTTGTTAGTGTTTTCGGTTTTCAACCATAGCACCCTTTCATCATAATATTCACTACGCTAGAACTCTGGTTTCGTCCGTAACGCTATTTAGTGAAGAGATGTCGTACGGCAAGGAAGAACGCCACGACAGCTGATCTTGCTCTGTTTCGGAATCGGCCCCAGTCTGTCACCCCAGCTGTCCGCCCCAGATCCGAAACATAATCAAGACATTGCGACCCAGCACAAGGCCCGACCCGTGATGGTCCGACACAGCTCCTCTCTGAGCGCGCCGCCTGAGAAATGACGGCTAGGAGTCCGGGCAGCGCCAGCCCGGCCTCTAGTCGCCCCATAGACGCCCGATCGCCCGATAGACGTTAAAGAGGCCCGATCATCATCCTGTAGACGGATGGAGGCAGTTGCATTTTCTCACTCACCTGCAGCTTTCCATGTGCGCACAAACCCACCACAGTGACGTCATGAGCTACTCGATAGGGATGACGATCGGGCGTCTCAGAATAATTTGGCGCGCCGGGGCCGTTGTTCCTCGAACTGGAGAACTTTTCTGCAGCCTCATGTGACGTTCGCGGCAATGAAGTGTTTACCCCGTTTCCAGCCCAAATCGGTACAACCACGATGGGAAAACCAGGATAGCGCACCGACGTAATCTGTGGACCCACCTCCGTCTAAAGGTGAAACGGGATGCCGAAGTCACCAGCAAAGTCCGAAGTTAATACGAGGCCGACGTCGGTACACCATAAGGAAGTCACAGCCCACCGCACGTTTGTCTTCCTCGAACTAGTCACATGCGCGGCGAAGACTCCAAAAGTATGCCTACGTCTTGGGTTTCAGATGCACCGCAGGGTTGTTAAAGTAACCACAGTAACTAAGCTGATGGCTTATGGTATTCCCGCATCAAGAGTGTGGATGCAGCAGCCCTGCAGGCGGGACAGCGAGCCACAGAGTGGCGCGGAGTTACCGATCTTAAGTGCCGACTGTAGGGTTATTGGCTGTGAAAGCAAACTTGCTTTTTATGGCGATCTCACTTCAATTGCGACCGCTTAATGACAGTTGCATGGATCTGTACTCCGCAGTTGCAGTTGGACAGAAGCTAGTGTTTCCTGATGGAAGGCATAAACGACATGACTATTGTACTCATTATTATCGAACTAACGTAATTGTGATACGGTGCTCCCTCTATGATACAAGTACGCACGAAAAGCGTGGCTGTCTGTTGGTAGACGGATATTGACTTTCTTCACTTCTCCATTTTATTTCACTCCCAAAGCCTCGCTGAAATTTAACCAAAAAGGGGTTATTTCACATCGTGAAACACCAAGTTTCAGGGTGCAGCCAAGGCCGTGCATTGGAAATAAGCAACCGTCCACAAAGGGAAAATAACTACCGCAGAAGCGTGTTTCATTCATAACAAATACTGATTAAGAAAGATCAGCATCAACGTGCCTGTCATTGCGGTCATCAAACATAAACTGCCAGCAAACTGCCCTCTCGCGATTCTTTAAACAACTAACGCTTCAAAACTTCCGCCAGATGTCACCTGTATGATTAGCTCTGGGCCCGGACAGCAATTGTCGGACCTTGCGCATCGCGCGCGAAAAAGCATCCCAGCGATATAAAGCACGAATGATGTAAGTGATGTAAAGCGCGGCAGGCTCATCAAGTACCTAATAATACAGATGATAAGCGAACAGACGACGGGAGTACACCAGGTGGCCCAGCAAACGGCGGTTAATGGTGCAGATGGCTTTCACGGCCAGGAGCACGGATAAACAGAGGCTGCTGAAGTGACGACTTCCTTGCGCCAGACCGATTCAAACACACAGTAACGACCAGCCCTGGCGACAGCTCGAGCAACGAGAGAGTCCGAATAAAAACATCAGAGCAAAGTAATAACAAATCCCCCCAGTCTTCAATGCTGGCGACAGTTTAAAAACACCCGCTCTGATCTAACGGCATGGGATCATTGGTCACATCATCACATTTGTCACGGTATGGCAGTGGTTGCGTTATCGTTCATCCTCCCATCCCGCGTTGTGGAGCCGCATTGAACTACGCTCTCCACTTCCAGCCGCTAGATGTCCATACGCCCGCCAGTAAAGCTCCAATCCCGGCTTCCACGTAACCGTGCGTCGGCCGGTCGCCTCAGCGGAGGTCCAGGTTCCGACGCGCCCCGGAGGATTGTTTCGTCCGTCGGCCGGAGGATGGCGCTGGCACGCGCAGCTGGGGCGACCTGCTGAAGATCCAGTCCAGGTCAGGTCAGCACCAGTCAGTTAGATCAGCAGCGGCGGCAGCAACATGCAGACAGAGCAGACAGGCAGCGCCATGGCCGGCATGGAGTCGTACCGACCTGGGACTGGTGGCGCGCGAGCGGGAGGAGGCCGGAGCCGGGGCCGGAGCCGAGAGACGGGACGGCGTCAGCACGCCGTCGGCGCCGCGCAGACCAGCCAGAGTCGAGTCCAGCCGCCGCGACTCCGAGTCCAGCGCGGCCGCATCCAGACCTGCTGACGGCCGCCTCCTACGTTACGTCCGCTGACAGGCTCGGCTCGATCCGGCAACAGCCACGTCACGTCCGCCGACAGGCACGGCACGGGCCGGCGTCACGCTGCGGGGGACGGCACGGCGGACCACAACACCCCGTCACGGCGGCATGGCAGCGCACCATACGGCAGTAACACACGCCGCCCCACCTTAACACCGTCATACCAAAATAGAGACGAGAACCACCGCCAGCCGCCGTTCCCCCAGTCCTACCCGTGGCATTCGCCCCCTGGCCCTCATCCTCCCCCGCTGTTCCGTTGTTCCTGTCGCACTGTTTCCGTGCCTCGCCGCCGCCCGCCACCGGCCGGCAAGGCCACTCACGCTCGTTGCCGCTGACGCTGCGCAGACTCTGGTCGAGCGAGGAGCGGATCTGACGGATCTCCTGACCGGCGCGCGTGCTGCGCAGGATGTACTGCTGGCGCGCGCGCATCTCCTGCGACAGCTGCTCCTTCAGCGTGCCGATCTGCGGCGCGCGGCACAGTCAGCTGGCGACAGCGACGGCGCAAGCACCGCGGCTCTGCTCCTAGCGGGCGAGCTCCGAGCGGGCGAGACCGCTCGCACATCGGAACTGGACCAAGAACGGAACTGGAACGGAACCAAGAGCTAGCTAGCGTTCAGGACAGGCTTCACACTTTCAGGGCGCATCATCTCAACCCTCGCTAACATCTTCAGGAAACATGGCACCATCACCACAATCACCATCAGTCGTCTCTCTCTCTCTCTCTCTCTCTCTCTCTCTCTCTCTCTCTCTCTCTCTCTCTCTCTCTCTCTCGCCATATCTCTCCTACCTGCTGTTCCAGGCCGACGATGCGTTGTTTGCAGCTTCTCTCGCGAGCCTGCATGGTCTTTTCCAGCTGGAGACAGCGGGCGCGCAGCCGGTCCAGCTCGGCTAGGTCCTCCTGCCGGCCGGAGGTCAAGGGCTGACGGAGCGCTCCCCCCGCGGCTCACAAAGCCGAACAGCAAGGCCTCCTCCCCCCCCCTATCGACTGGCGGCTCTCTCGCAGCGCGGGCGTCCACAGCAGCTCACGAGTGCTGCCGTCCGTTGATGCTGAGACCCTCAGCCAGTCAGGGCTCAGGTCAGAGCAGGCACCGCGAACATCACGGACGCGACGTCCGTTGATGCTGAGACCCTCAGCCAGTCAGGGCTCAGGTCAGAGCAGGCACCGCGAACATCACGGACGCGACGTTCGCAAAACTAGTGCTGATTGGCCAGTTTGTACGCCGGGCTCCGTTTCAATGCACGCTGAGCGGACCAGACTGACGAGCAGCGGAGCCAACGCTTTTCGTCACCTGCAGCATTACGCCATTGTATTGCGCATGCTGAAGTATGGTGCTGCGAGAGATTGAACTGGTTCGCAATGAACTCGAGACCTGTGCCAGTCATAAGCGTGACTTAGTTATCCTGGCCGTCCTCGCCACTGCATATTTCTAGCACAGAAGCGTGCAGACAGCGTGGCCGCTAAATGCCAATAGTGAGCTATCTGCTTGGTTTTCCAACGACAGATTTAAAAAAAAAACAGATATACCTTACCCAGAGACCAGACCAGGCCAGATCGCATTACATCAGACCAGGACGGATCAGATCAGATAGTATAAGACCAAGCCAGGTCACAGGGCCTCAGCCCAGACCCGAGCCCGCCCGCGTCGCAGTGTCCGTCGCTGCTGGTCCCACCTGTTGCAGCTTGTCCTCCATCTGCGCCACTTGCGCGCCGGCCTCCGCCAGTTGACGCGCCAGCTGCGCGGCCTGCTATCGCGTCTCGGCCTGGACGCCGTCGGAGGCGGCCACCTGCTGCTGCAGCCGGTCCACGCCCAGCCGCAGGTGAGCACACCGCTCCTCCGAGGCGGCCAGCGACTTCTGGCACGCCTCCAGCTGCGCCTGCTGCGCCTGCGAGCGAGGCGGGGCGGCGCGCGGCGTCAGGTGTCGGCGAGGTCGCCTGTCTCCCCATACCCGTGACACACCGCCGTAGGGCAAACGGACCGCGCACGGCGGCCTCGCTCCCCTGACCAATGGCACGTGTCTCCGGACGGGAGCTGCAGACGGTGCGATACCCCGACCGCCCACCGTCCTCAGAGTCGTCCCTAGACAGGAATCTCAGAGCCGTCCCTAGACAGGCACCTCAGAGCCGTCCTTAGACAGGGCACTTGGAGCCGTCCCTAGACAGAGGACTCGGAGCCGTTCCTAGGCAAGGCACTCAAAGGCGTCCATAGACAGGGGACTCACAGCCCTCCCCAGACAACCCACTCAGAGCCCTCCCTAGACAGGGCACTCAGAGCCGCAGCACCGGCCGGGCGCTCGGCGCAACCCGGCCCGAAGCTAAAACTAACTTGCTGGATTGAGTGCGGACATATCTTTAAATCCATTTAGTTTTGGCAGCACGGCAGGGCACAAATGATGTTTTTTGGTTATATATGCACCTGAACCAGGCGCTGCAAACACACAAAACAATTGTGGGCACTTTTATTGCTGTGTCAATCTGTCTGACACAAACCACTTTGTCTTTATTTCTTTTTTCAGCATTCTGCAGCGTGTTTAAAGTGTCGCAAAATCCCTCTTTTTAAGGATTTTTCTAGAGTTGCTCACGGATATTGCTCACAGATACGCACCATGGTCATTGCATTCAAGTCATTTCATCACACTGCACTGCCAATTTCCTCATCTTCCGCTTATTTCCATGGTTGACAAAGGTGTAACCACCGCTGGGATGTCGTGTTTAGCGATACCAGACACTCTCTGAGACTGTTCATCCCCATCAATATCATTTTGCACACTGTTGACTGCAGTCTTGTGGAAAACAACAGTTCTGTGGGAAACCCGGCCGACGTATCGCGGCAGGTTTCGCCCTGCGACACTTATCAGGCAGTCCACACATGATCCGCCAGGCCGCCGGATCACTTGGTCCGCCCGGATGCCAGCCGACATATGATCTTCCGAGCTGCCGGATCAGTCGCTCCGCCCGGACGACAGCTGACATATCACGGGCCACCGGCCCGGCCCGGCCCGGGGGCCAGCACCCGCGTGAACGGCCGGCCGCGCGTAGGGACGAGATAATGCCGAGGCCGTGCCCCACGGGTGCAGGCGCCGAACGCATCCGGAGCTGGGCACGGCCACTGCGACGCCGCCACCCGTCGATCGGTTTACCCGCACCACGCTGGTCCGCTCGTTCATCCGTGGTACGTCGGCCAGGCTTCCAACAAGACTCCACGAGACTGCAGTCAACAATGTACAAAATACAGATGATAAACATGGAAGGCATGGGCAGACGTTTTTACATGAGCCAGCATTGGGCCGGCGGACCTTCCGGGCCACTTTTCCGGGTGTGGCAGAGCTTTAAAAGGCCTAGTTTCAAGACTATAACTCTCACTCTTCCGTGCACCTGTGGACCGTGCACTCGTGCCTCACCCTGGTGGGCCCCGCACTGGTGCGCAGCTGGATTACACACAACTTGTAAGGACTTGCACATGTCATACCGGGCCAGCCGGAATGGCATGTGATTCCGTTGGGCAGTGTCAGTCGGTGAGTGCCAGTTTTCCCTGTGTGAGTGCTACAGCTTAAGCATTGGTTTTTCCTTGTGCGTTTGTGACTGATACGTTTTGGTCCCTTTGGCCGGCACGCGACCCTTCCCTTTTAGTGGTTTCGTTAAGTGAAAATACACAATAGCCGTGTACCAACGCTTAACCAGAAAAGCGGCTGGGTGTCTAACCACCCGGAGCATAAGACTAAGCAGAAGGCTTTAGAGACAGCAGAACGGTACAGGGAACAATCTGAACTCTAAAACTCCAGGGAATACTCCGCTATATTTCCGCGGGCAAGCCCTCTTCAAGTGAGTTTTAAAATTTTCTATTCCATGGTGATCCATAAAAATATTTCAAAGTTACATAAGAATCCGGAACGTGGGACGTTTGTGTGGTCACGTTTTGGAGCGTTTTTAGGCATGCCCCCTATAATGTCCCACGTTCCGGGTTCTTATTAACCTTTGCATGGTGTTTTGTGGCTCGCCATAAATGGTAAATTCCAACACTCACGTAAAGAGGGCATGTCCACCGAAATATAATAAACTTCGCCGCTTATTCATTGCATTTCTTGGAGTTTGAAACTGCAGCGAACTTTGCACGGTGAAATGTTAACTACCGGGATGGCAAAGACAGAGTATACGTTCTCCAATTCAGCTAATGAGCCTGCGCCCCCACCCCTTCTTTTGCATTTTATGTGGCATGCATGCTTATCACACCAGCGCACGAAAATTTTCCAGCTTAAGGCCCACTTTTCCCAAAGTTTAATTTGATCCTAGCGCCAATTTTTTTCACCACCCCATTGCCGGCGTGGGTCAAGATTATTGCCATAATTGAATGTCAGGTATAGTTGATCTGTTGACGATGGAACTACTCTGTGGCAGAGTGGATGTCCGTGAAGTTGGCGATTTATTCAGCGACGAGTTTCGATTTCCCTGACTTGTCAGATGGCCGATTATGGTACCACAGTCGCAAAAGGCGTTTATTTTAAATACCATGTGCCATCCTAAGTCAAATTAAAGATCAAGGGACGGGGAACTCCATATCACCAGAAAATTAGCGTCCGACTTCAAGCTCTTAAGCATTAGAAAATTTATCAGCGGAAAAACCAGTTTCCGTCAAAAATCAAGACTATCTTTCAAAGCCAATTCGCGTTTTAAAGGCGAGAAACTCCACATCACCAACAAATTACTGGCCAATGCGGGATTTTCAAGCTGTCAAAACGTTGTGACCTCTCCAGGTGACCTTTCAAATTGCCGCTTAACAGACGGTTTTGTCAATAACACCAAAAAGTACCGGCCGATTTCAACTTCTGACGCATTAGGATATTTCTCAGCCCACGACTAACGTTCATTAAAAGTCCTGACTTCTGCTCCCGCTCCTGCTCCCGAGATCAACTCCCAAGGCAAAATTCCGTCTCACGGGGCGGGAACTCTACATCACCACCTTGAGTTCCCCTGCTTTGGCCTTAAATTTTGCCATGAAGGTCACATTATATTGCAAAATTAACTTCATGTTCGATATTATTGTGCCGCACTTGACCACCCGACGCGTTTTCAGTGAAATCTCAGCTCGCTGCTAAATAAATCGCTGAAGGCATCTCTAACTTCAAGAGCATGCAAAGAGATGCCAAACAAGTTCATTTACCATTATGTGGTACTTTCAACCACTCTGATTGCGAAGATAAGCATCTTTTACACTAGCGTATAGGTTGGTTGTGAATGACGTCACCAAAAGTGAATGTTTGTGATTGAGGCGTCTTTTAAACTAGCGTATAGGTTCGTTGCGAATGACATCAACAGAAGTGAATGTTTGTGATTGGCACAACGGGCAGCGTGAGCATTTAGCGAGGCGTGTCACGGTGGATATTGGGACATGTGCGTCACTAAACCACGTGATATACCGATAACGCATACTTGTGTGTATGCAACATATAACATAACATAACGTGTATCCTTCCGACTCGTCGGCTGAGCGAGGGTCGGGCGCCTCGGGGTGACTGGGGGTCGTAACCCGAGGCGCGTCCTATGGCGGATCAGTCCTGGCGTGTGCTTCCTTTGTATGATATGGATAAGAGGGCTGCGGTCCTACAAATACCCGAGTTTGGCGGCACCCTAGGCAACCGTACTCCACCTCGAGACTGTGGGCCATTGGGGGGGGGGGGGGGAGGGGGGAACTAGAGGGGCAACATCGTGAGGCCGGAAGCTGGTTAAGGGATACGACGAATGAAAACGGCGTGTGGTGATACTGGGACGAATGCATGGCATTGAATACAAGTAAATAAGCTACAAGGACCAGTAGGAGCGACGGTAGCTCAGCATAGGGAAGAGCGTGGCTATATGTACATGGCACATGGGGGTGCAGTTCAGCGTATGGTGGTAGTGGGACGAATCACAATCACAGCTCCCATCAACTGATGCTTGAAGCCGAAGGCCTACTAGGAGGTAGTAGCCGAGCTGCTCTGCAGGGCGTATCGTAAAGTAACTCGTGTCAGGTGGTCGTAGCACATGTAAAACCGCTCCACGGGTTCCCCTCGATATCATGTTCCTTTCATCAGCCTCAGCCTCTACCGTGAGCAGCGAAGTCACCCGTGTGTCTCAAAGGGAATCGGACAGCCTCACACCTGTGCAAAGTTCTGATATGAGCACGAGATGCGGTACATTACTGAATGACATTTTCTTTGCAAGACGGCCAGGTTGCATGGGACACCATTCGCTGAATGAAAACAGGCATGAGGAAGCAGAACGAACGTCGTCACCAACTTTGCAAGATAACAAAATCCTTGGAAACCAACTTTCACAATGCTCACAAAATGTTGAAGAACACTGCAGCCATTAATAACGGCGAAACGAGCAACCAAGGAACCCTACGATTACACCGACTGTTTCTGGAAGATTGAAGCCCTTCAGCGCTCATGCGTTAGCATTGTTGTAAAATTGTATGATGCTGCAGCACCGTTTTGCAGATTAATGAAACAAGGTAGAACACTAGAACTACCTCCATTGTTCTTGCACGGCGCAACAACTTGTAATGAAGGATTTAGAAAGTGGTTGCATAAGGTTGCAGAATGATGCAAAATCGGTTCACAGCTAACTGAAGCCAGGTAGAACCGCATGATTACCTCCATCGTTTGTGCAAGGCACAAGAGCCCCCTGAGAAGGATTTGCTGAAAAATTGCAATGTTACAAAACAGTGGCACATTGCACGCAAAGCACCCCATTGCAACTCTACACAAGCGCGGGCCGACGGGCCTCGTTACATCTCCCGGCACGCGCTTGAGCGCGCCACATAAAGTATGGCACTGAGCACCTCTCTGGCACCGCCGACATCAAACGACCCATCCAACACCCGTACCCGATGAGGAGGTGGAGGGGGCACATAACCTCGTTTGAGCCAATACGCTTTTACCGGATTCTGTGAGATTTCGGAGGAATTCCATTAAAATTCGCAGGAAATTGGGCAAAAACCAAACCGTTCTGGAGCAATTCTGGTCATGTTCCCGTCGCCCGTCAGTACATCAGTGCTTCGGAGCCTTAACTGCTCGGCCCCATCGCACTACGAAACTGGCTTAATCGGCCAACGACTTCCTTGCTGTGATGAGTATCCTGACAGGCGCCGTCAGGCCGCCCAGTTCCGGCTAATCTACAGCCGCCCCGGCCCACAACTCTCCGCCACTCAGCATTCCTTCTTCAAAACGTCCGCTCTCCTAAATTAGTGCCGTCGCTTGGCTGTTATCGGCTAAGGGACTCACGGTACCGCGTCTGCACCGCAGCGTGTGTTTATTCACTCTTCGCTCGAAAGCGCACCCAGCGACGCTCTTCGAGGGCTGGGCGCCGCGCCGTGGGCGCGAGCTGTTGAACGGTCACCGAATCTTCTAATTTACGGCGTGCTGCTCAAACGCCTCTGAGGTATTGTCATTCGCAACGCGATATGTAATATCGCATATGCCTCATCGCGAGAGGCGATCCCCATGAGGCGGCTTTGGCTCACCTCACCACTAAAACCAAAAGCAGAACTCCGCGCCCATTGCACGCTTGGCACTCTTGGCCCCTGACCGACACAAGGACCCGTGACTGTTTCAGGAGCTCCAACGGATGCAAATATTGGACAACGACCCTGCCCCTGGCTGGCTGCAGGCTGCAGCCTACAGCCTGCAGCCATGCACAGTTCCTGAAACCCTTCGACTGTCTCGGGGACGTTTGAACATTTCGCCGGAGGCATTTGTGTGCGGACATTTAATTCATATCCCTTTTCTGGGCTCCTGCGTACCAAATGTGTCTATCCCTTTTCTGTCAGCTTTCTTTCTAGAACTCGCTATCAATTCCACGGCCATCTGGCTGCTATGGGGCGTTTGTTTCAATGACATCTGCAATCGAGCCACCAGCTGCACCAAATAAAAAGATTTAGGGCTTCCCCAGTGGCGTAGGCGGCGGGGGTAGGCAAAGGGAGCACGTTCCCCCTTGGGTCCCGGGACCATTCGGCCCGTCCGGACTTACGATCAAGGGCCAGAAAGGTTATATGGGGGTCGTAAGAAAAGGTCCGTCCCGCAGCGCCGGGGCCGCAAATTTCGACCAAGGAGGCCTTTACGCCGATCGGGGCACCCCCTGAATTGATGAGGGCCTTCTATGTCGATTAGGCACCATCAGTACCAAACAGTCGGTACTGAACACTCGTACCGAACAGTGTCCGTCTAGGCCCTGGGGACCCAAGCAGGGCCCGGCCTTGTGCCCGCACTCCCAAGTAGTAGCAAGGTCGTTGTCCAATATTCGCATTCATCGGAGCCCCTGAAATAATGAGGGACACTTGTGTCGGTCAGGGGCCCAAAGTACCAAAAGTGCCAAACAAGGAGTCTGTGTCTGCAAGGAGCCTAGAGTCAGGCGAAAGAACATTTGCTGAGCAGGGACACGGACGGGGCCCTGAATGCCAGAGAGTCTCTCGCTGTGGCCAGGGTCCCAGACACTCTGAAGATGCATAACAACTTATGACAAAGGCCGCAATAAGACAGTGGAAGGGCCCTGTGTCAGTCAGGTGCTCTCCATCCCATTTCAGCCAGTATCCCGTAAAGTCGGACAGGATTCCAAATTATTCGACTCCCTGAGGCGATACGGGATCGTTTTGCGTCAAAGGGGGCCCTGCATCGGTCCGGGGAAAATTTCCTGGGTTAGAGAGTTTTCCGCTTCAGGGAAGGGTCCGGTGAATCCCTATAAGGGCCTCCGGATAACCAGGTTGAGTGAGTGAGTGAGTGAGTGAGTGAGTGAGTGAGTGAGTGAGTGAGTGAGTGAGTGAGCGAGTGAGTGAGTGAGTGAAAGAGGGAGAGAGAGCGAGAGAGAGAGAGAGAGAGAGAGAGAGAGAGAGAGAGAGAGAGGAGAGAGAGAGAGAGAGAGAGAGATAGGAGAGAGAGAGAGAGAGAGAGAGAGAGAGGAGAGAGAGAGAAGAGAGAAAAGAGAGAGAGAGAGAGATGAGGAGAGGAGAGAGACGAGAGGAAGAGAGCAAAAGAGAGAGAGAGAGAGAGAAGAGAGAGAGAGAAGAGAGAGAGAGAGAGAGAGAGGAGAGAGAGAGAGGCAGAGAGAGAGAGAGAAGAGAGACGAGAGAGAAGAAGAGAGAGAGAAGGAAGGAGAGAGAGGAGAGAGAGAGAGAGAGAGAGAGAGAGAGAGATGAGAGAGAGAGAGAGAGAGAGGAGAGAGATAGAGAGAGAGAGAGAGAGAGAGAGAGAGAGAGAGAGAGAGAGAGAAGAGAGAGAGAGAGAGAGAGACAGAGAAGAGAGAGAGAGAGAGAGAGAGAGAGGGAGAGAGAGAGAGGAGAGAGAGAGAGAGAGAACAGAAGAGGAGAGAGAGAGAGAGAGAGAGAGAGAGAGAGAGAGAGAGAGAGAGAGAGAGAGAGGAGATGAGAGAGCGAGAGAGAGAGAGAGATGAGAGGAGAGAGAGAGAGAGAGAGAGAGAGAGAGAGAGAGAGATGTTATTCACGGAAGACTCCGGGGAGGGCGGGCTCGCAGCACCGCCCCTTCTCGCGACCTCGGGCCGGCGCGCTGCACCACGCCGTCCGCCACACTCAACCGCGGGACGGAAGGCATCGGTTGGAGCGCTACACCAGCGGCCGCAACAGACCACGGCAAGGCCTCCGAGGACCGCGACAGTCCGGTAAGGTGGGGAGCTCAGGACGAGTTGGCTTTAGCAAGGTCCTTGCGGAACATTTCTCCGTTTGCTGTCTTCCCACTGGGAATGACGCCGTCAACAACGCACTGCAAATTCATCAACCGGTGGGCTAATAAAACAACTTCATCTGGGTTGTGCGCATGAACGAAGCGTTTAAGATATCAGATTGTGTGCGGGCTGCGCATTTTATCGCATCTTCGGCCATGACATTGACGCGGGTAACGATTGTGTCAAAAATCAACTATTCAAAATTTGCTTCATTTCGCCGTCTTTAAAGTGTGGGATATTTGTTTTAAACGGCTTCATATGTGAGATGCAGGCGTTTGTGCCTTCTAGAAGCTATTCAGTTTGGCCAAATCCTTTGAGAGTGAAAAAAAAACGGTAAGCCACGTATTTTTCTCGAAGTCCACATTCATCCGTGATGTCAGCGGCTTATGGTGCGCACTGATCGGAAATACTTTTGAAGTGAGTTATGGCTTATGCCAGCGTAGAGTTGAGTGAACATGAGGTAAAACGTCATGGTACACGGAATGTCGGCATTGGAGATTGTTGAACAACGCGCACTGCGACTACATGGAATGGGATATCTAGTTTACCTCCAAACACTTTGGTAAACCGAAATCGTGCGCTTTTGTTCTTGAGTGTTGAGAGTTTCTTGAGCCCTTTTATTCCTAAGTTGCTCTTGATTGCTCTTGTCTGTTCTCAACTATTCAACTGGTTAGTGATTGAGCTTCGCCCAAACGGAACAGAAATGCTTAACTTTTGAGATGCGGGCTTCTGGATTTATGGCTTATCAGATGCACCAAGTGCATTCAACGCTGGTTTAAACACCTCCAGACATTTGTTTACGACGAACAGAGCGTCCGACTGCATTGGACCGAGCAACCAGCACTGGCGTGGTGCGGATTGTGCGATCACATGCATATTAAAAGTGTGCTGTATATATGTCACAAAATGTACCAATTTAGTGCGGGATACTTGGATCGTTGCGTTCCAACTTCTCCTGACCATGAACCACTTTTAGATTATGAAATAGTTCGGCTGGTACGCGGATCGGGAACGGACAACTTGCGTAATATTTGCTGTAGTAAAAAAAAACAACAATGAATTGCAGGTTTGCCTCGTACTCTGGTGATTATTTCAGGTAAATGACGAGGTCCATCACAAACCACCTTGTGACTTGTCAGGGAGCTCAATGCATTTACTGGAATCGGCAAGTTCCTGCACAACAGTGATTGCCTGCAAACAGATTCATTCAACTAACAGTTGGTGGCAATCGATCTGTAGCTAAATACCTCATTATCCAACACACTTTCCACATACAATCAAGACCTGCCTATCTCCCGGACACGCAGGACCGTCTACAGCATATCGACCGCTGCTAGGCGCTGCTGTGTAAGCACCGACAACTTCATATAAACAAACGCATATACTTCGCGTCGCGGCCGAGTACGAAATGGGCCTGTGTCATAACGACATAACGTAACATAACGTAAGGAATGAACTCATTCCGGAGTAATTGGCTGTGTAAAAACGGGCTCAGCGCAAGATATCTGGGGACGCAACGGCGGGTCCAGGCACAGAGAAGGTACGCTTAATTAGGTATCGATGTCGTATGAGAAGCCGTGCGCCTATGATAGGCCTCCTCTGGATTGGACGGACCAGGGCAAAGAACGGAGCGAAGTTGTATAAATCAGGACGCTGACCCCCCAAAGGTACCGCCCTGATAGTCGCGGCAGGGCCAGCGGCACGGGTCGCAAGGCGCAATATCTTGCCACAGGTCAAGTGTGACGGGTGGGACTCAACTGCTTTGATAATGACATCATTGACGTCAATGCCCAATGCCGGCGTCAGGAGGAGAAGACAAGCTTCAGGCAGGATTGAAACGTCGAGCAGGACGGACAGACGTCAGGTAAGCATGCTTCGGGCAGCCAAGACTAATATCAGGCGGGAATGACAGACGCCAGCCAGGAATGACAAAGATCAGGCAAGGAATGATAAAGGTAAGGGAAGGATTGGCGGACGTCAGACACGAATGCCAGATGTCAGAAGGCAGGCATACCGGGAAGACATTATAGACGTCAGACACCCGTAGCGCAGGAATGGCGGGCGTTCGGCGTACATATGTGCGTGCCATTGAGGCTTTACGACGCACACAGCTGCTGAGGTTATATGGCGTCGCCTGCCTCTCACCCTGGCGGGAAGGGCGGGCACCGCGGGGAATCGAACCCGTACCTCTGGGTTCCCAGACGCGTAGTTGTTAACGCAGACGCGTGAACCTCTACACTACCGGCACCCTTCATATCGGCGTACATACATCAAGCGGGGGTCGCCGACTCCCGCTCCTGGACAAGAGCTCAAATGGAGCTAAAAGTCGAATGACAAAAATCAAACGAAACCATCGGGCAAAATGGCTGAAGGCGATAGAACTCGAATCTTAAAAGTCTGAAAGACAAATAGTCGACAGGGATAAAGAAAGGAACGCACAGCGATAGGGATGAGTCAGATAAGTTCAAGTTGTCGCGTACACGTTTTTGCAGTAGAAGTAGGGTCGTATATAATGGCTGCAGATCTTTTTGCAGTGCAAGTAATGACGAATATAAGTCACTCGTCACTCGTATAAGTCACGGTACAGCTTTTGTCGCGCATCACCAGTGTCGTGTTTAAGTAATGTCGTAGCACATCTGTCGGAACGAGCTTTTGTTGTAGCAGAAATGTCTTGGAGCCGTCCCCACATCTGCTGGCCCTGGCCTAGCCCGATGATCGTTTATTGATCAGAAGGCACACCAGCAAACTTGCAGCCTGGTGCCGTTGAATAATTCAGAATTAGGCCACCAATTGTTCCACGACTGTTGAAGGCCAACCCGCGGCGGCGCATCCTCTCGATCATATCCACCGCTGCCTGCCCTGCCGTAGGGAGGTTCTCGTGCCGGCATTGCCCAAGCACTGAATTCTGCTCGCGCCCGAGCATGAAGTTGGCGCCCGTGTTGAGAAATGTTGCAACGCGAGGAATCGCTACGTCCCATGACATGAATGTGGGAAAATCATCATTGCTTTAAACGATCTGAACGGCGTCGTTTCCTGCCGCAGAGTTGGGCGGACCTCTCTCCGCCCCGCTGCGGTCCCTGATGGAGCCGACACGCGGCGCCCAGACGAGCCGGCCGTCCGCGGAGCCAGCCGACGCGGCCCGGCCCGACGGCGGCGCCGAGCACGACGCGGAGAGCTTCGAGGACATTCTGCGGCTGACATGCGGCAGCGGCCGCTGGCAGACCGCGCTGCTGGCCTACATGTCGTTGATGTGGCTCATTCTGCCATTCTTCTCCATGTCGATGATGTTCATCGGCGCGACGCCGCCGTTCAAGTGCGCCGACGGCTTCGACGCGAACGCCACGTACGCCTCGCTGCCGGCCGCCGCCCAGCGCTGCCACCCACCCAACGCGAGCGCCGCCTGCCGACGCTGGGTGTTCGACCGGTCCGTGTACGAGTCGACGGTGGTGACGGAGTGGGCGCTGGTGTGCGGCCGCAAGCCGCTGTTGTCGCTACTGCAGTCGCTGCTGATGCTGGGCGGCCTGTCGGGCGCCGTGGCTGCCGGCCAGCTGGCAGACCGCTTCGGCCGGCGGCCCGTCTTCCTGCCGGCCATGCTGCTCATCGTGCTGATGGCCTTCACGTCGGCGCTGGCCACCAGCTACGCGCTGTTCGCCGCCTGCCGGCTGCTAAGCGGGCTGGCCATGGCTTTGATGATCGGCAGCCAGTACGTGCTGGTCGCCGAGCTGGGCGGCATCGGCCAGCGCGCACGCTACAGCGCGTTCACGCTCATGCCGTTCGCGGTGGGCACGGCGCTGGTGGCGGCACTCTCCTATGCCGTGCGTAACCGCCGGCTCCTGCAGCTGGTCTACGCCGTGCCCTGTCTGGGGCTGCTGCCGAACATCTGGCTCATGCCCGAGTCGCCGCGCTGGCTGCTCCTGCGCGGCCGGCCAACCAAGGCTTACGACGTGCTGGCGGCGGGCGCCCGCTGGAACGGCGCCGCCATGCCGCCGCGGGACGTTGTGCTGAAGATGATGACGCGGGTGCACTCCGGCAAGCCAGCGCCAGAGGCAGATACCGGCGGCCGCTGCAGCCGGCTCCTCAACCAGCTGCTGCAGCTGGTCAAAACGCCCCGTATGCGGCGCAGCACACTAGTCAGCGCCTTCGTCTGGTTCGTCGTCTCCGGCGCGTACTTCGGCATCGCGTTCGACGTAACGCAGCTGAGCCGGCAGCCGCACCTGGCCGGCGTGCTCCTCGGCCTGCTAAATCTACCCTCCGTCTTCTTCTTCCCTATCATCGACCGGCTGGGCCGCCGCGGGCCCACGGCCGCCTGCTTCTTCCTCTCGGCCGCCGCCATGCTCGTCATCTTCGCCGTCAGCCATCCGCCGGTGCGGCTGGCGTTCGGCCTGGTCGGCCAGCTCAGCGTCAGCTTGGCGTTCAACATACTGTACGCCTACTCGCCCGAGTACATGCCGACGTGCGCGCGCGCCGTCGGGTTTGGCGTGTGCCAGGTGGCGCTGCGGCTGGGCGCCACCGTCTCGCCGTTCGTGGTGGACCTGGTGAGCGAGCTGCGGGCCACCGCGCCGTCGGCCGTGTTCGGTGCCGCCGCGCTGCTGGCCGGTCTGGCCACGTTGCTGCTGCCAGAGACGTGCGGCGCCGGCCTGCCCGACTCGGTGGCCGACGTGGAGCGGGGTGGCAGCGCGGCGCCGTCCGTCGGGCACAGCGCCGACGGCCGACCGGCCAGGCCGCCCGCCGACCCGTGGGCCGCGGCGACAGCGGACGAGCTGCCGCTGACGTGATCCAGCGGCCTGCAGCGCTGGGAGCTACGGAGTGAGGGGTTCTGTCGGACCTGTAGATCCGGCTCGGGACCTGACAAGCCCACGACCAGCAGGCGTGTGCCGCTCGGTGTTCGACGCGACGCCTGCTACGCTGAGCGCGAGGAGCTCGCACTGCTGCGCTCGACCAGCTCGAACGCCCCGCGATATGACTCCAAATATGAATATGGACAACAGCTTGGAATTTACCAAAGTATGGGGAAGCGGTGTTGTGTTCATGAGCGTTTGGATTTATAGCCAGGAAGCTAAGGCCCTCTCAGCTCCTGCTACTGGCTACAAAGCCCTCTCCACATTCTGCAGTCGTCAGCTGTTGCGCCCAAGAGACGCCCCATTTAAGCCCGCACGCCTGTAAAGCGAGAATAAAAGAGCTCAAAAATATCTGCAAATGTACTGGCAGATACTAGGGACCATACCAAACTTGACAAACCGTATTTCCTGCACCATTGGGAACACGCTGGTACGGTAGCGCAAGGCAATCCTACTTGACCCTGATCGACTTCCTTTATCGTGACGAATATCAGCGCCTGTAACGTTTTTCCTATACCTTATGATAAAGCCCTGATTTCGGTGATCCATGCCGCCTCCGTCGGGGGCGGTCTGTTACCCGGGTCCATCCTAAGCGATTGTGCAGACACATTTGCAGGGCATGGTGAGGTGACAGCCAGAGGTTACAGCGAGAGGTAGGCACATATTCTTCAAACAGGTCATCCGTCAAAGCACTGACTCATTTTTTTGTCAACTGATTGACGATTTCGTTAACAATGAACGCCATTCACAGAATCGTCAACTTTCATTAAATTTTCGTCCCATGACTGACTAGTTCAACTATATCCCACTGACAATATCCCAGACTATTTCAAAATCATTCAGGTATGCATAAAGCCATGGAAACCAAATTCGAATCCTGCACTCCCGTATGTCATGCGGCATTCCAAGTCAAGAATACAACAGCCGATCCGTTCAGATCTGACGCTCAGGAGTATAATCTCCAGGCATAATGTACGTCAGCTGGCTCTCAATCAATATTGGGGACGCTGTGGGAGTGTCAGTCACCATTGGCTGTTTGCATTACAGCCCCTTCGACCAAAAATGACCATTTCAGGGCTATAGGATGAGCGAGAATGGATAACGGTGTGACAGATCTGCATGCGGCTGGGGGGGGGGGGGGGGGGGGGGGGGCGGGCAATCGCTTAACTTCCACCCTAGGGTGTGCATTAGGTGCCCAGTTGTCGTTGCCCTCCCACGGGGCTTCTCGACCCACTTGTAGCTAACGCATGCGGCCTACCCCGGACGTTCAACGCGCCGCGACGTTGTGGAACCAATTACAATAGAGGATGAGAAATACGGACCAGCGCAACTGGGATCACGTTGTTCTGCATAATATAAGAAGTTGGACATGGTAGCTAGTTTTTACGGAAATCAGACAAATAATCGAATAAATCAAGAATAGCGCCATAACCGAGTATGTGAATGCAAGTACACATCATGCATTGACGAATAAATGCGCAAGAACATCACGAGAAAAGACCAAAACAAGAGCACAAAACGGTATCTAGTTCAGCACACTTCCAGCACCCCCATCGCCACCTCTCGGGAGATTGAAGTGCTATAAGAGAGTGCTACGATGGCAATTTCGGACGGCTAGTTTGGCGGCACATCAACGGCATACAAACGTTCCAGCACGTAACCAAACAATGACGCACTCAGGAGCATACTCACTAAGTAGTGAGGAGTAAGTAGTAAGTAACTTTACTGTTTAGAGCATCCATTTACAATTAAAGTATACCTAATAGTTATGAGTGAGTTCAGTTCATATCTAATGTTTCCTTCAAAATCTTCAAATTTCGAACATTCCCATTCACTTAGAGATCGTTTCGAGCATTCCCTTTACATTCGAGATCGTTAAGTTTCTTCCGGCGCGTTTTCGGTTGTGTTACAGTTACAGTCATTTTCGTTTACATTTTCAGTCGAGTGTTACAGATTGCATGAGTGGTAGGTGGGGTTTCTCAGCGTGGGAACTCGAGGGCTGGAGCCTTGGGACATGAGTTATGGAAAAACGATGGCTGGTGTTGGCAAGTTTCATGGTGACACGCATGGTGATGGGATGGGCTCTGCCTTCTGGCACCAGGGGCCAGGGGCGCTGCGCCTTCTAACTCCCCTCCGTCTGAATAGGAAGCTACGCCCTTGATTCGGGGGGGGGGGGGGCAATCCCCAACTGAATAGGAAACAACACGACTATAGGACTTTTGCAGCCGAGCATCCTACTATCGGATAATTTTAGTCATTGCTCTCAACCAGCAGTGTTTTAAGGAACGTACCCGACGCGCCCGCGCACACGTACACACACGCACACAACACGCACGCACACGCGATCACACACGCACACACACACAAACACACACACACACACACACACACACACACACACACACACACACACACACGCACACACACACACACACACGCACACACACGCACACACGCACACACACACACACACACACACACACACACACACACACACACACAAACACACACACACACACACACACAACACACACACACACACACACACACACACACACACACACACACACACACACATTGTGTTCTTATGAGCTCAATACCGCAACAGTTCGCGGGTTTACTTCGCCAAGCGACGGAGCTGACACTGAACACGCATGGGGAGAGCTGTGGCGACCGGCCGGGCCTGCACCCACCTGCAGCTGGGCGTCACTGTCCAGCGCCAGCCGCTGTCGCAGGGGCTGGCTGGGGCGACGCTCGAGCACGCTGTCTGCAGACGGGTCGGCGAGGGCCCCGCCCGAACTCGCGCGGCGTGCGTGACGGCCTGTGCTGCGCCACCGGGCGCGCGTCAGCGGTGAGTGACCGTCGCTGTACCCCGATGCGCCGGTGAGGCTCACTGCATGACGCCAGGCTAAGTTAAGCTCCAAAGTTCCAAAGCATCCGTCCTGATCCCATTCAACCGGGGCGATGAGCACGATTATAGCTTTAGGGGCACCAGGTCCGGTGTCATGCCATGGGTCTGCGTTGTAAGCGACATTTCTGCAGCTGTGTACGATACGTGCCGAGAAACTTCCGTGCAGCAGTCGCGGCGAGCGCCCGTCTGTGGCAATCCGTGGGCACGAGTGGCGCCTACGCCGGTCGGGAGCGCAGACAGAGTCAGGTCGCCTGCTGGTCAGCACCTATCACCGGTCTGCAGTCCAGTCCACAGCACCCGACAGCAGGGCCGCGCGAGACAGTCCTGTTCCAGATCTGACTACAAAGGCGTGCCTGACGGGTCCGTCCTAGAGCCGACTGCTTCCAAAGTATGCAATTCACATAGCACACACTAGTAGTTAATACCTTCAAACTTTTCACTGAAATCTGCGCAAACTGATAAATCGCTTTCTCAATTGCGCGTGTTGACGGCTCTGGCAAGATGAGTGCCGCGACATTAAAAAACATGAACCGTTACGTCACTCAGCGTATGAGACGCGTTCTCGTTCTCGTAAGACGCAATTAAGGTGACTCAGGGACTGCGAGAGACGGACACAGATGAGATCGGACCTCAGTTAATCCGTTCGGGGCCAACGGCGGCGGAAAAACACCGGTCCCGACTCGGCACTCGTCGCCGAATCCGAAAACGTCATCTGATAAGGTGTACTATTTTCCAGGAGAAAAGGTGATTTATGGAACACGTTAGCACATTTTCACCGGAGATAACCGGCAGGTACTGAGTTTGGATCTCCTATACGCAGCCCTTGCTCGGTCGTTGCACCAGTACACGATTTAAGGTGAGGGATTGGGGACCAAGCCGTTAAGACAGCACCTCCCTAGAGTTTCATTTTTCTGTGAGCAGCAGCCATTTAATACTAGGTTTAGTACCTTCGAGCACAGTTCGCTGCTCTCAGTCAATTCGACATTTCGTTGCAAGGGTTAGTCGTTTTGTTTTGTTTATTCAGTCAGGTTCTCATGACCAATTTGCGAACTTTTTTTCGCGCAGGGACAAGTGATAAATAAATGCAACTGACGGGGTCTAGAGTATTCAAGAATACAGGTCAATAAACCTCATTGCAGGAAAGTCGATGTTATTAGGCCCTGTTAGGGCTTCCGTCACGACTCAGACCTCATCTGGTGTTTGAAAGTATGCCACTCCAACGTTCTGGTGTGTTGGCGTACTGTATAATATATATATATATATATATATATTATATATTATATATAATATATATATATATACTATATATAGTAATATAAACGTAGCACGTGAGCCTGCTTTTAAGCTACACATATCATACACACCAGATGAGGGTCACGGGTCCGAACAATGGCTCCTGCCGTTAGGAAATATCAAAGCCGTCATGTATGCTTTTTCTTATGTTCTTTGTGTACAACAGCGCGGATGAACTGGGTCGGCGCCAGCTGGCGGCCTGGACAAGGCGACCGACATGTCTGTCCGATCCAGCAAGACAGCCTCGTCTTTATTGTCAATGATTCTTAAGGTCAAACATACGCATTAATCCTGATTATGTAGCCACAGCCTGATCAAGTAACACATAGAACCGGAGGGTTAATCTGTGAGCAAGTGGGAAACTGCATAAAGTAACAGATTGTCCCGGGCAGGGCTTAGGTTGCATGCGTTTGCAGGTTGCAAGGCTTAGGTTGCGTTTCGTTGGAGTTTGCCATTTGAACATATAGATGGATACATTCGCGCACTCCAGCAGAAATTTGTATACTATCAGAGCTTTTCACATTTTCAATGACGTTGAAGGTGGAAGCAAATGGGGCAAAAAATCCTCGTTGAAGGCCAGGGGCGGAAATTTGCCATTTGCAGGCCGCATGTTGCAGTTAGACAGCACTCAGATCAGTTAAAACAAATTATCATTTTGGAATTACATCATAGCATGTTCTAGCATTTCTTATTGTTTCTAAATATATGTTCCTACAGCTGCTCGATATTCACGCTCCAATATCACTACAGCGTCATCTTCAATGTACAGTGGGATGAGTATTTTTTAAGGTCCATTCTTACACATATCACCACCTGCAATACCTTACGTTTGACCTCACAAGAAGTGGGTGGGTGATGACTGATAGACCCCGCCCCTGTTGACACCATGTGCCTCTGTTCACGTGATGCAACTATGATTAGCTTACTAGAGAGCATGGCGGCCCAGGATTTGCGATGGCAGTGAAATAACACGATTTAAAGATGTGATATTGTGCGTATTGCTCTGCGTTCACTGTGGTTGAAAGTGGTTTTCACAAATCACACGTTCATCTTCGTCTAAACAGCATGAATTTAATGTCTAATCAGGAAAATTTTCGCTGAAAAAATCGTCCGGAAATAAGGGGAAAATGATTTAATGTGCTTTAACAATTTACTTAGTTTTAAAGAACCTGAATGCACACCGGAATGTTCAGATATTGTTGTTGACGTTCGGCAATTCGTCTCAAATATTCTGTCAAACGTAACAATATGGGCCTGGCAGGCCCATATTGTTAAACGGCTCGTCCGGCTCATATTGTTAAACGGCTCATATTGTTAAACGGCAGGCCCATATATATCAAACGGCTCGTGTTTGCAGTCAACGAATGATGTAGTTACACTGTCTATTTTCCATGCAATTGTGTGACTCGTGCGTTGCCCACGCCACGCCACGGTTTTCCAGGTGCTGCGAAAATCGCCGTGATATGGTGTCACGATGGCCAACTGTCAAAGTCCCACGGTGCTGCGACCAATCTGGAAGCAAATTTTTGGTCAAATATGACAAAGTTCTTGGAAGGCTTCTGGTAAAGTGTGCTTTCTAAACTTGTGATTGAGTTCACACGCTGTAAATTATTTTCGTCTTTGATGTTCCCGTGTTATCCTCACAGGAGGATTGCATTATACAGGTCATCGTGTTTGGTGTAACGATCAGACTATACCTGCATTTGGTTGGCTTAGCCTTCAAGGATTGTGCCCACCACAAACGTTTTGTTCGATTTTTCAAGCACGGGCAAAAGTAACGACCTTTAGGACTGTTTTCAACCATGGCACCGTTGCATCACAATATTCACTACGCTAGAACTCTGGTTTCGTCCGTAACGATATAAAGTGAAAAGATGCCATAATTTAGTTGCATACCACTGATACGTAAAGCTCACCTAACGCTAGGTTTGTGTTAACACACAAATTTGGCAGAATTATAGCCCCTGTAATTATAGCCCCGGGAATTCCCAGGAAAATAGATGCCGAACAAACCTGAGAACAGATAGCCGCCACCCGCACCATATTCAACTCGACGGCAATCTGGGGGTAAGCCCAATCGCTTGAAGCTGTCTCCACTTATCCATTTGGTCAGCCGGCGTAAACTTTGGTGCAAGACCTCCGCGTCAGATGAATCGTGCGCTTGGCGGAATGTGTCGCACCGTCTCCAAACACAACCAGCGCACCAGTGACCGGCGGCGGGCTGTTCATCAAGCCGAGGGCGAGGGAGATAACGAGACGCCCTCTGGGGGTGCCGTAAGTCTCGGCGATCCTTGGCCACGGTGTTCCAACGAGCGCCGTCCACTGCTGGTTCTTGACTCAGATCAATGTACCCAACCAAATGCACCGCATTGCTGCATTGCCCATCTTTGCTTCCCAAACCGTTACTGCCTTGGCATGAACAAATGATATTTGAATACGCTTGCTTTGAGAACGCAAGCATGTTTCGAGCTTGACATCTATATTTGTCAGATATTGCACAAACGGCAAGGAAGAACGCCACGACAGCTGATCTTGCTGTTTCGGAATCGGCCCCAGTCTGTCACCCCAGCTGTCCGCCCCAGATCCGGAACATAATCAAGACATTGCGACCCAGCACAAGGCCCGACCCGTGATGGTCCGACCCAGCTCCCCTCTGAGCGCACCCGCCTGGGAAATGACGAATAGAGGCCGGGCAGCGCCAGCCCGGTCTCTAGTCGCCCCATAGGCGCCCGATCGCCCGATAGACGTTAAAGAGGCCCGATCATCATCCTGTAGACGGATGGAGGCAGTTGCATTTTCTCACTCACCTGCAGCTTTCCATGTGCGCACAAACCCACCACAGTGACGTCATGAGCTACTCGATAGGGATGACGATCGGGCGTCTCAGAATAATTTGGCGCGCCGGGGCCGTTGTTCCTCGAAGTAGAGACGTTTCTGCAGCCTCATGTGACGTTCGCGGCATTGAAGTGTTTACCCCGTTTCCAGCCCAAATCGGTACAACCACGATGGGAAAACCAGGATAGCGCACCGACGTAATCTGTGGACCCACCTCCGTCTAAAGGTGAAATGGGATGCCAAAGTCGCCAGCAAAGTCAAGGTTAATACGAGGCCGACGTCGGTACACCATAAGGAAGTCACAGCCCACCGCACGTTTGTCTTCCTCGAACTAGTCACATGCGCGGCGAAAGACTCCAAAGTATGCCTACATCTTGGGTTTCAGATGCACCGCAGGGTTGTTAAAGTAACCACAGTAACTAAGCAGATGGCTTATGGTATTCCCGCATCAAGAGTGTGGATGCAGCATTCCTGCAGGCGGGACAGCGAGCCACAGAGTGGCGCGGGGTTACCGATCTTAAGTGCCGACTGTAGGCTTATTGGCTGTGAAAGCAAACTTGCTTTTTATGGCGATCTCACTTCAACTGCGACCGCTTAATGCCAGTTGTATGGATCTGTACTCCGCAGTTGCAGTTGGACGGAAGCTAGTGTTTCCTGATGGAGGCATAAACGACATAACTATTGTACTGATGATTATCGAACTAACGTAATTGTGATACGGTACTCCCTCTATGATACAAGTACGCACGAAAAGCGTGCCTGTCTGTTGGTAGACGGATATTGACTTTCTTCACTTCTCCATTTTATTTATATTTATATCACTCCCAAAGCCTCGCTGAAAATTTAACCAAAAGAGGCTATTTCACACCGTGAAACACCAAGTTTCAGGGTGCAGCCAAGGCCGTGCATTGGAACTATGCAGCCGTCCGCACAGAGAAAAGAACTACCGCAGAAGCGTGTTTCATTCTAACAAATACTGATTAGAAAGATCAGCATCAACGTGCTTGTCATTGCAGTCATCAAGCACAACCTGCCACCAAACTGCCCTCTCGCGGTTCATTAAACAACGAACGCTTCAAAACTTCCGCCAGATGTCACCTGTATTGTTAACTCTGGGCCCGGACAGCAATTGTCGGACCTTGCGCATCGCGCGAATAAGCATTCCAGTGATACAAAGCACGAATGATGTAAGTGATGTGTAAAGCGCGGCAGGCTCATCAAGTACCTAATAATACAGATGATAAGCGAACAGACGACGGGAGTACACAGGTGGCCAGCAAACGGTGGTTAATGGTGCAGACGGCTTTCATGGCCAGAAGCACGGATTAACAGAGGCTGCTGAAGTAACGACATCCTTACGCCGGACCGATCCAAACACACAGTAACGACCAGCCATGGCGACAGTTCGAGCAACGAGAGAGTCCGAATAAAAACATCAGAGTTAAGTAATAACGAAACCTGCCGGTCTTCAATGTTGGCGACAGTTTAAAAACACCCGCTCTGATCCCACGACATGGGATCATTGGTCACATCATCACATTTGACACGGTTTGGCAGTGGTTGCGTTATCGTTCATCCTCCCATCCCGCGTTGTGGAGCCGCATTGAACTACGCTCTCCACTTCCAGCCGCTAGATGTCCATACGCCCGCCAGTAAAGCTCCAATCCCGGCTTCCACGTAACCGTGCGTCGGCCGGTCGCCTCAGCAGAGGTCCAGGTTTCGACGGGCCCCGGAGGATTGTTTCGCCCGTCGGCCGGGGGATGGTGCTGGCACGCGCAGCTGGGGCGACCTGCTGAAGATCCAGTCCAGGTCAGGTCAGCACCACAGAGTTACGTCAGCAGCGGCAGCAGCAGGTAGACAGTACGGACAGACAGCGCCATGGCTGGCATGGAGTCGTACCGACCTGGGACTGGCGGCACGCGAGCGGGAGGAGGCCGGAACCGGGGCCGGAGCCGGGAGCCGGGACGGCGTCAACACGCCGTCGGCGCCGCGCAGACCGGCCAGAGTCGAGTCCAGCCGCCGCGACTCTGAGTCCAGCGCGGCCGCATCCAGACCTGCCGACGGCCGCCACCTACGTTACGTCCGCCGACAGGCACGGCTCGATCCGACAACAGTCACGTCACGTCCGCCGACATGCACGGCACGGGCCGGCGTCACGCCACGAGGGACGGCATGGCGGGTCACGACACTCCGTCACGGCGGCGTGACAGCGCACCACACGGCAGTGACACACGTCACCCCACCTTAACACCGTCACGCCAAAATGGAGACGAGAACCACCGCCAGCCGCCGTTCCCCCAGTCCTACTCGTGGCGCTCACTCCCTGACCCTCATCCTCCCTCACTGTTCCGTTGTTCCTGCCGCACTGTTTCCGTGCCTCGCCGCCGTCCGCGGCCGGCGGCGGACGCCGCGAGACTCACGCTCGTTGCCGCTGACGCTGCGCAGACTCTGGTCGAGCGAGGAGCGGATCTGACGGATCTCCTGACCGGCGCGCGTGCTGCGCAGGATGTACTGCTGGCGCGCGCGCATCTCCTGCGACAGCTGCTCCTTCAGCGTGCTGATCTGCGGCGCGCGGCACAGTCAGCTGGCGACAGCGACGGCGCGAGCACAGCGGCTCTGTGAGCTCCGAGCGGGCGAGACCGCTCGCACAACTGGACACACCAAGAGCTAGCCGTTCAGGACAGGCTTTACATTTTCAGGGCGCATCATCTCAACCCTCGCAGACATCTTCAGGAAACATGACACCATCCACCACGAATCACCATCAGCCGTCTCTCTCTCTCTCCTCCTCTCTCTCCTCTCCCTCTCTCTCTCTCTCTCTCTATCTCTCTCTCTCTCTCTCTTCTCTCTCTCTCTTCTCTCTCCTCTCTCTCTCTCTCTCTCTCTCTCTCTCTCTCTCGCCATATCTCTCCTACCTGCTGTTCCAGGCCGACGATGCGTTGTTTACAGCTTCTCTCGCGAGCCTGCATGGTCTTTTCCAGCTGGAGACAGCGGGCGCGCAGCCGGTCCAGCTCGGCTAGGTCCTCCTGCCGGCCGGAGGTCAAGGGCTGACGGAGCGCTCCCCCCGCGGCTCACAAAGCCGAACAGCAAGGCCTCCTCCCCCCCCCCCTATCGACTGGGGGCTCTCTCGCAGCGCGAGCGTCCACAGCAGCTCACGAGCGCTGCCGTCCGTTGATGCTGAGACCCTCAGCCAGTCAGGGCTCAGTTCAGAGCAGGCACCGCGAACACCACGGACGCGACGTCCGTTGATGCTGAGACCCTCAGCCAGTCAGGGCTCAGTTCAGAGCAGGCACCGCGAACACCACGGACGCGACGTTCGCAAAACTAGTGCTGATTGGCCAGTTTGGACGCCGGGCTCCGTTTCAATGCACGCTGAGCGGACCAGACTGACGAGCAGCGGAGCCAACGCTTTTCGTCACCTGCAGCATTACTCCATTGTATTGCGCATGTTGAAGTATGGTGCTGCGAGAGATTGAGCTGGTTCGCAATGAACTCGAGACCTGTGCCAGTCATAAGCGTGACTTAGTTATCCTGGCCGTCCTCGCCACTGCATATTTCCAGCACAGAAGCGTGCAGACAGTGTGACCGCTAAAAACCAATAGTGAGCTTTCTGCTTGGTTTTCCTACGACATATTAAACAACATACATATATACCTTTCCCACAGAGCAGACCAGACCAGATCGCATTACATCAGACCAGGACGGATAAGATCAGACAAAATTAGACCAAGCCAGGTCACAGGGCCTCAGCCCAGACCCGAGCCCGCCCGCGTCACAGTGTCCGTCGCCGCTCGCCCCACCTGCTGCAGCTTGTCCTCCATCTGCGCCACTTGCGCGCCGGCCTCCGCCAGCTGACGCGCCAGCTGCGCGGCCTGCTCGCGCGTCTCGGCCTGGCCGCCGTCGGAGACGGCCAGCTGCTGCTGCAGCCGGTCCACGCCCAGCCGCAGGTGAGCACACCGCTCCTCCGAGGCGGCCAGCGACTTCTGACACGCCTCCAGCTGCGCCTGCTGCGCCTGCGAGCGAGGCGGGGCGGCGCGCGGCGTCAGGTGTCGGCGAGGTCGCCTGTCTCCCCATACCCGTGACACAACCGCCGTAGGGCAAACGGACCGCGCACGGCGGCCTCGCTCCCCTGACCAATGGCACGTGTCTCCGGACGGGAGCTGCAGACGGTGCGATACCCCGACCGCCCATCGTCCTCAGAGCCGTCCCTAGACAGGGACCTCAGAGCCGTCCCTAGACAGGGACCTCAGAGCCGTCCTTAGACAGGGCACTTGGAGCCGTCCCTAGACAGAGGACTCGGAGCCGTTCCTAGGCAAGGCACTCAAAGGCGTCCATAGACAGGGGACTCACAGCCCTCCCCAGACAACCCACTCAGAGCCCTCCCTAGACAGGGCACTCAGAGCCGCAGCACCGGCCGGGCGCTCGGCGCAACCCGGCCCGAAGCTAAAACTAACTTGCTGGATTGAGTGCGGACATATCTTTAAATCCATTTAGTTTTGGCAGCACGGCAGGGCACAAATGATGTTTTTTGGTTATATATGCACCTGAACCAGGCGCTGCAAACACACAAAACAATTGTGGGCACTTTTATTACTGTGTCAATCTGTCTGACACAAACCACTTTGTCTTTATTTCTTTTTTCAGCATTCTGCAGCGTGTTTAAAGTGTCGCAAAATCCCCCCTTTTGAAGTATTTTCCTAGAGTTGCTCACAGATATTGCTCACAGATACACACCATGGCCACTGCATTCAAGTCATTCAATCACACTGAACTGCCAATTTCTTCGTCTTCCGTTTATTTTCCATGGTTGTCAAAGGTGCAGCCACTGCTGGGATGTTGTATCTATCGATACCAGACCCTTTCTGAGACTGTTCATCCCCATCAATATCATTTTGCACACTGTTGACTGCAGTCTTGTGGAAAACAACAGTTCTGTGGGAAACCCGGCCGACGTATCGCGGCAGGTTTCGCCCTGCGACACTTATCAGGCAGTCCACACATGATCCGCCAGGCCGCTGGATCACTTGGTCCGCCCGGATGCCAGCCGACATATGATCTTCCGAGCTGCCGGATCAGTCGCTCCGCCCGGACGACAGCTGACATATCACGGGCCACCGGCCCGGCCCGGCCCGGGGGCCAGCACCCGCGTGAACGGCCGGCCGCGCGTAGGGACGAGATAATGCCGAGGCCGTGCCCCACGCGTGCAGGCGCCGAACGCATCCGGAGCTGGGCACGGCCACTGCGACGCCGCCACCCGTCGATCGGTTTACCCGCACCACGCTGGTCCGCTCGTTCATCCGTGGTACGTCGGCCAGGCTTCCAACAAGACTCCACGAGACTGCAGTCAACAATGTACAAAATAATGATGATAAACATGGAAGGCATGGGCAGACGTTTTTACATGAGCCAGCATTGGGCCGGCGGACCTTCCGGGCCACTTTTCCGGGTGTGGCAGAGCTTTAAAAGGCCTAGTTTCAAGACTATAACTCTCACTCTTCCGTGCACCTGTGGACCGTGCACTCGTGCCTCACCCTGGTGGGCCCCGTACTGGTGCGCAGCTGGATTATGCACAACTTGTAAGGACTGGCACATGTCATACCGGACCAGCATGTGATTCCGATGGGCAGTGTCAGTCGGTGAGTACTAGTTTTCCCTGTGTGAGTGCTACGGCTTAAGCATTGGCTTTTCCTTGTGCGTTTGTGACTGATACGTTTTGGTCCCTTTGGCCGGCACGCGACCCTTCCCTTTTAGTGGTTTTGTTGATTTAAAATACACGATAGCCGTGTACCGACGCTTTAACCAGAAAACCGTCTGGGTGTCTCACCGCCCGGGGCGTGATACTAAGGAGAAGGCTTTAGAGACAGCGGAACGGTACAGGGAACAATCTGAACTCTCAAACTCAGGGAATACTCCGCTATATTTCCGCAGACAAGCCCTCTTCAAGTGAGTTTTAAAATTTTCTATTCCATGGTGATCCATAAAAATATTTCAAAGTTACATAAGAATCCGGAACGTGGGACGTTTATGTGGATATGTTTTGGGGCGTTTATGGGCATGTCCCCCATAAATGTCCCACGTTCCGGATTCTTATTAAGCTTTGCATGATGTTTTATGGTTCGCCATAAATTGCAAATTCCAACGCTCATCTGAAGAGGGCATGTCTGCCGAAATACCGTGAACTTCGCCGCTTATTCATTGTATTTCTCAGAGTTTGACACTGCAGTGAACATTGCGCGGTAAAATTTTAACTACCGGGATGGCAAAGACAGAGTATACGTTCTCCAATTCAGCTAATGAGCCTGCGCCCCCACCCCTTCTTTTGCATTTTATGTGGCATGCATGCTTATCACACCAGCGCACGTAAATTTTCCAGCTTAAGGCCCACTTTTCCAAAGTTAAATTTGATCCTTGCGCCAATTTTTTTCACCACCCCATTGCCGGCGTGGGTCAAGATTATTGCCATAATTGAATGTCAGGTATAGTTGATCTGTTGACGATGGAACTACTCTGTGGCAGAGTGGATGTCCGTGAAGTTGGCGATTTATTCAGCGACGAGTTTCGATTTCCCTGACTTGTCAGATGGCCGATTATGGTACCACAGTCGCAAAAGGCGTTTATTTTAAATACCATGTGC